GCTTTAAGTAGGGATGTCTTGTTCCTTGTCTGAGGATTCCTCACTAGAGAACTGCATAGGACTGCAGCTTTCTGAAGATTTTTAAACCTCTACACATCTGTGCTTATATTACATTTACATAGCTTCCTTATGATCTTGTCTTTAATTGCATTTTTTGTCTGTCCTTTCTTTCAGCTGAACTAGATTTGATATACTGGTTACTTGTATCAAGGAATGAGTTCTACTCCTAAAAAACCCCTAACAGATAAAAACCTATGGGGTTTTTTTTTAGAATTAGGGAGAATAAAAGAATTTTCAAAAAATAAATAGAGAAATGCCACAGTCCAGCCTTGCTGCTGCAAAACTGTAAAAGAAGAAAGAAGACTTTTTGCAAGACCTGACAAAGAATTTATTATATGGACCACTGAACTCATCTTTTATCATTTATCTCTGTAAATGTGTGAGATTTCTTAGAAGATAGTTAGTCAAATGAGAAACTGAGATGAATCAGTGGATACAATTTATTTAGACTTTAAAAAGGCTTTTGATGATAAAGTCCTTAGCAAGAGGCTATTAAGGAAAGTTAGTAACCATATGGTGAAAGATAAAGTCCTGCCATGGATTAAAAAGTGGTTAAGAGATAAGATAAAAAGACTGGAAATAAACGGATAATTCTCCCTGGAAAGAGGTTAATAGCAAGGTGCCCCTTCGTTTCTGTGACTGGCAATCAATATCTTGGCTCACCTGCCTTTGCAGATCATTAATAGGAAGGTACAGAGTTTGTAGATAAAAATGTTCAGGCTAATCAGAGTATTATAGAAAATATTACTAAGGCTGAAGTTAAATGACATTTGGGCAACTCAAGGGAGATGCCAAGCCTCTTGGAAGGAAGGGTTCAGACAACCCTGGATGCTGATCTGTGCCATGATTTGCAATGTCCATGAACAGCTCACTGAAGGGAACTGTTCACGTGCATTGGAAAGGAAAGAGAACACTGGATGCTGTGGGTCCATGGAGTGGTACTCCCAGGCAGGTGAGGGCAGTGAATAACTTCAAACTGGCAGAGCCCATTAAGATCTGCTGGGAACAATTTTGCATCTCCACAGGGAGATGGACAAGCTGCATCAAGAATTTTTGGACAGCGGGATTTATCAGAAAATGCAGATATACAAGATAGAAATGTAATATGGATATTGGTCAGCTTCTGTGGGAAATGTTTCTGAAGGACAAAATGAAACAGAGAATGAGAGGGGTTTGGTTTTTTTCAGAATGAAAACGTGTGAGAGTGTGTGTATTATTCCTTGCTGTGTCCAACATCATGATTATTCTTGAAGCAAAGACTCTAATCCTACTTTTTCTTCATTAGTGTTCTGCCTACTGGGCTATCAAGCTGATGTCTGAGACCTCATCAATACTTAGAAATAAATTATCCAACAGCAGATAACATGAAATTCTTCATAAATACAGGCAAAGTTAGCAAAATTTGGACCTATTCCCCATGAGAAATTAAGGATCCATATTCAAGTTTCTGCTCTGCTTGCTTCAGAGCAAGGGTATGAATTTGTCTCCCTTTCAACTCAGGCAAGTGCTCCGATTATTACTGGCCTTCTAGTTTTGGTATGCAAATAAATACATGGATCTTTTGCATTTGAATACTTCAAGTGTTAAACATTTTTTGCAATGAGAAAATCAATGAGAAAGTCTTTCAGTGCATCATCTGACCCTTCCAACCCGACAGAGTCAGCAATATATTATTGTACAGCTTGATGCATTAAACCAGGGTGCATTTTCTCTGAAGATCCAGCAGATTCAGCACAGTAAGAGGTCACTGCTGCCATAGTTACCCCTCAGTAACACAGCAGTCTGCCACAGTTCTCTAGCTGGGGCCAGTTCAGCCCTGTGCTTTCTGTGTTTTTAAGGCTCATGGCTGTTGTGGCTGTACTGGAGTAAGCAAAGGGACTGGATACACGTAAAGCTATGCTTGTTTCTTGTGTCCTCATGCAAAACTTGAGTAAATTGAGCTTGTGCAGAAGACCATAAAGGTTTGGGAAGGAAAGAATAATCCCATATTTAGGCTACTACTTGGAAGGAATTGTATAAATATTTTCTGATCACTGAGTTGATGGATTGTAATACTAAAACCAAGGCATGAATACACTGGAAGAGAATTCAAACTGGAGATGTAAACAACAGTAAATCTGCATACAGCATACACACTGAAACATCGTATGTGATGATACAGAGGGCATCCCTAGTGTCAGCATCACATGCTGAAGTGTTCCACAAAGGGGTAAAGTAGCTGTTCTATTTATCTTCTCTTCATGTAAACATCTCTGATTTTCTGTGCCCCATCTTTTGTAAAAGAACTGTGCTCACCTAGGTGACCCAAAAGCCAAGCTGCTTTTTCAGGCATCGCTCAGTGGATCTGACTTCAAAAGGCACCAAAGTAGCTCATTTAGGGAAAGACAGATGGGAAAACGCACATATTCCTCACTTACCTGAGTTTTGCCAAAGCTTGTCTTGTGTTCAAAAAAAACCCAACAGATTCTGCATATTAATCTAAACAAAATATTTCCTGCCTTCTATCATAATATCAGTCTAGAATTTTATCTGGAAAACACGTGCTGGAAATTTTAATGGAAAGGGTAATGCCAAGGAAGCGCAATGGGAATGACTATACTGAAATCTAGCAATAAAATACTTCAAACCCAGATGCTTATCATGTGACAATTGGAGATGCATTTGTTATCTTCTGTCTACCCAGAAGCAGTTTGCCTATACTTCATACAAACTCCAGCATACAGCTTTCTGTTGCAGTGCTGGGTAGTTTACCTGGCCTGTGTATAGAATCTGAACAGATTTCAGCCTGTGGTGTAAGGGTAGAGGCAAACCCGCTTAGACAGGACAAAGAAGATATGGTTGTCAGCTAAATCATAGGCTGTTAATAGAGAAATGTTTCATGTACCTCCTCACTGTCATTGCGCTGTAACTTCATCCCTTTAGGGCACCTCTTTCTACAAAGCTCTCAAAACCTCAATTCTTCAGCTTTTCCTTATGCTAAAGTTGTTCAGCTCTTGCTCAGACTTAAATCAGTTGGCAAGCAAGAAACAAAACATAAAACATCCATCTGGATTAGTGTGCTCAACATGATGCAAACTGAGAACGTTTATTCACTCAGCTACCTGATGTAGTGACAGAGCTGCAACAGGACAGAGCCCCGGGGTCCTCATTCTCTACCAGGCTGTCCTTGAAAGAGTCAACATAACTTATTCCAACCACAATGAAAATATTTTGTAAATCAGATGTGATTATGCCATTATAACATGATCATAACAAAGGAAGGACAGCCACATCCTGCAGAAACACCTTTAGCTCCTGAAATGGAGACAGCAGGAGGGCAATGCTGCATAGGGCTCAATCCACTGGGCTGATTCCATATCTGCTGTCAGATCCTTGGGAGACAGTCTCAGGAGGGAAAATAGAGTTTCATAAAAGTTAAAAAGGAGAGGCATCAGGGTAACAGTGTGAACCCTCTGACCACCCTGAGAAGCTGTCAGGTTCTCTAGGCTGTCCTCCCTATCCTAAACATGCCATTGACATGTCCTCAGCAGACATTATGCTACTGCTTCTCTCACACATCTGATATTTCTGGAACAGCCGTTCTGGGAGAGTTTCTGACACAAAGCTGACTTTTGTAGAAGCGTGACTTACTCCCAGGGGGAGGGCTGGATCCCCTTCCTACCTATGAGCCCCCCTACATATGGAGCCCAGCACTGCCAGCACGCTCCTGACACGCCTGAGGAGGGCTTGCTGTGCCACAGGGCTGTGGAACAACCTAGTTCCATGCAATACTCCAAGATGCCCTATTCTGCAGATGCTATTCTCCCCAAATGCTAATGTTAAAAACTAAAGAGTTACAGAGTCATCACAGTGAAAAGAGAGATAATCCCAAATGCAGCAGTTCCAGGACTTGCCAGCCACACAAAACTTAACCCTGTGTGCTTGAACACTCACCTGCATGTCTGGTTCACATCCTGCTCACCAGTTCTTATTACACACATCTACAACACTTTATTTTTCACAGACTGTGCCAAGGTATTAAAAAACTGGGAAAAAATATTTCTAATGACTGGTTTTTTAAAGCAGCATAGGCTGACTTCCAGTACTGAAGTCCCAATAGCTACTGCTGCACATCCTACATAAAACCATGGCATTGGGTAATTTTCATCACTAAATCATATTTTTTCTGACCTATCCAAACATACATTGCCTCTGGGTGCTCTGTCAGGTGTATGGATCAGAAGGACTTCACATCCAGTTTTCTGCTTATTTCAATAAACTTACCAGAGTAATATTTCACAAGTTTAAATAATTCTGCTAAATAATCAAATAAATGAGAATTACACAGGTGATATTTGTTTCATCTACATAGTTGGAAGGAGTTTGCATAGCAACCCCAAGGGTAATGCAGTTATTAAAAGATTAATTAACAATTTTCTTTTTCCCAGAACATATTACAAATCTTTAACAAAACTCACTTAGGGAATCCTGGAATTTTAACATGTTCTACTCTAAAGAGCCTGTCTACTTACCAACTTTATAATTACAGAAATAGAATTTAATTGGCAAAATATATTTAAAATTTTTTCACTAAGTTTAAATGTTCATAGACACTGCTATTTTTCATAAAGAATTAACTCCCAAATCATTACATTTTTACATTCATAGACACTTGTAATAAAGAGTTCAAGAATTCTGTGTCCTGGTTGTGTATTTAAAATTCCCAGCTAACAAGCAGGAGAGAGACTGCTAGGAATGCTTACAGATGTCTGATTTTACAAGGTCTGGGGTTGTTGTTTTCTTTTTTTTTTTCTTTTCCTTGCTAAAGTGCCTTAGTCTAATGTTATTTATTGTTTATGGAAGTTGTTTGTCATTTAGGACATGAAGTGACCACTCCCTCAAAAGAAAGAATCAAGTTACAATCCATTATTTCATTTTTTGATTGTTTTTCTTTGTAATAGGTGGGAAAGTGGATCCAGGATAAAAGTCCTGCCCAAGACAAAACTCCAAGCTGAAGACTCCAATTATCTATAAATCACTTGAATTTCCTGCAGAGAAAGAGAAAAAGGAGGACAGAGCGAGACAGACAGAAAAACAGAGACAGAGGATATGCCAAGTGAAACATTTGATACCTGTCCTAAACCAAAATTTTCTCAAAAGAAACCAGGAGTTACCTGATATCTCAAACCCAAGCTTAGAAGAAACATTGCCATTGGTTTTGGCTTAATATTGAAATGAAATAACTTTCTTTTAATTGTTCCATTCGTATAAAATGTGTTACATTTTACATCTGAGATGATGGAATTATGTATTGATTCATTAAAGGTCACTGTACATTCTCACACAGAGAAAGCTGTGATTGCTGATGACTGCTGTCCTCTTCAAAGGTTTTTAGAATCAATTCTCCAGTTTTAGAACAGAGAAATGCAATACATTTATGATGCAAACTGGCTGTGATACTACTCTCAAGTATTTCCCACGAAACCCTCCTGAAGCACAGTTCACACTGAAACCAGCAATGAACAAAATTCATGCCAAATACTCTTTGCACAGTATGATTGCTCCCGAGGTGTAGCACTACACAGCATCCAATAATTGCATTCCTTGCTTATTTAACTATTATAAAAGAATTTATGAGCAAGAAACCATATGCATTTTTTGATTTTCGTACTACAGTTTGCATTAAAATGTAATGAAATTTAAAATAGTTGACTTTCCTCTGAAACATTCTTCTAGAACAAGGAATTGCTGTAACAAATTAGAAGACAAATTAATTTTGGCACTCACTAAAAAAAAGAGAAAAGATGAAAAGCTTTCAAAGTGATGATATGGAAGAAAAAATTACACTACAGCGGCCAAAATGAGTCTCCTATCAGCATTAAAGCTCCTGAAGTTGTATTTCCAGTAGATAAAAATGTTATCACCTTTTTCCAGTGCTGATGTGCTTATTTTCCTATTAAGTTACTTGGTAATTAGAAACAAAGTCTGACACATTGTAATCTGTTTATACAAAAGATCTGAAACCTCTCCAACAGAAATGAAAACACTCTTTAAAGATACTGAAGATGCAAAGATTAAACACATATAAACGAATTTTGAAATGCAAAATGCACTTACAAACAAATGACTGTTTTTAAAGCCCATTTTAATCAACAAAACCAATTTAGTCTCATAAGATACCACAGAAACCCAGCAAGATTTTTCTACATTTCTACAGTGGGTTTGTTCTTAACCCTCTCTTTAAGAAAACCACTCTCAAAGGTTTGCAGGAAAAATATGCCATCTCACAATATTGTTCAAGAGTGTATTCAGGAATCACGGAAGTTTGTGGAGACCTGTTCCAGTGCTGTAACAACCTGGTAGTATTAAGAGTCCTCCAGGAAATGTAAAAGAGTCCCTTGGGCACACAGGGCAATTCAAGAAAGAAAACGTTTTTATTTTCTGATTGAGATACTCAGGTATGTATAGCATTGTCCTCTGAAGTACATCAAAAGCAAGCAAAACACACCCGAGAATACTGATTTTGCACTGAAAATAAACCCTCTGTAGAAAACAGTACATTTACAGAGAAGTGGCAAAGCCAGTCTCAGCAAATCTAATTTGCTTTCTGTTACCCTGTGTTTTTTTCAGATGATTAAAAAGCTAAAATATTTTTCTTTTATTACATATTCAAGGCAGTCTTTTAGCAGTTGGGTTTTGGTTTTTTTTTTATATCTCTACACCACATTGGGTAGGGCAGAATGAAACTGATTTTAAGCAAAATCCCTCCTTTGGAGAGCAAACCATTAATTTCTCTGCCAGAACAAACGAACACAACTTACCTTGGTGTATTTGATTTCAAGGTTGAGAGTGGGAGAAGGCAGCAGATGCAGAGATGCCATCAGAGCTGCAGGATCTGCCTTCACCTCCCCTGGCATCTCAATTTTACTGGAAGTCATAGTCTTGGGGGGGTTTTATAATAGCACCGAGCCCCCCGCTCTGCCCTGATGCTGTGTTGTGTTTTGGGTTGGTCCCCCCCCTCCAAAGCCCGGCGCTGAAGATGTTGCTCTCCTCCTCTGTATATAGGCAGGTGTCAAGCCGGGTCTCTTCTTATTGGACATGGGGGCAGAGGCAGGGGGGCAGGTCCATCCTACCTAGGGCGAGAGCGGCACAGCCCCGCTCACTGCGGCGCAGCCTCCCCGGGCCCCCCGGCCCGGCCCGGCCCGACCGGGGGATTCCCGGCACCCGCGGGGAGCACGGAGCTCCCGGGCGCGGCTCGCTGCCCGAGGAGCGGCACCGGGGAACGGCCGCGGGGAGCGGGGTCACCGGCACCGCCGCGCTCCCCCTCGGCTCCCGGGGCCGGGCGGGGAGGCGCCGCGGCCGCGAGAGGCCAGTCCCGGCTCCGGCCCCGCCCGGGGCATCCCGCGGGCAGCCCCAGCTCCGCACAGGCTGGGGATCCCCGGCCGCGGCGGGGGTAGCGGCGTACGGGGAGACACCGGGCTGCACTGGGGAAGCCCTGTCGGGCCGGGTGACCGGGGCACGATGCCCCGGACCGGCGGCTGCGCTCGGGCGCGGAGCCCACGGGGCAGGGCGGGCGACCCCTCGCGGGACCCGGGCCGAGGCGCGGAGCGGCAGCGTGTCCGTGCCCGCTCCCGCCGCCTGCTGCCCCCTGCCGGCCGCAGCGCGCGGGGAGCGGCGCCTCACGGCCGGGGCAGGCCCGCCGCGGCCGCGCTTTTGGAACGGTTCTCTGCAAAAGAGGCTTAAAGGGCACAATAATTTGTTCAAGCAGCAGCCACCTGATGCCAGCTGTTGGTTTTGGGGGTCCCTCTTAGCGGGAGGCCACGTCGTGCAAGAGAAGAGGCTGGGCAGTGCCGTGCAGCAGGTTAAGGGAAGGCAGCGGCCAAATGGAGCCACATCCGCGAGCTGACGGGCATCAGAAATTCCCTGTCAAAGCCCTACACGCTCCCTGGCCAAACCTTGCAGGCAGAAAACATAGAAAGATCAGGCCGTTTTCATTACTTTAGGAAAAATCAGTGAAGTTCTGCTCAGTGATGCAAACACTGCCAATGTTTTGTACCTGATCAGATGTCATGTTTTGAAGTTATCACATACCAGATAGATGAACAAAGAAAGGACACCAAAGCTACAGCTGTCCAAAGTTGGCAAAACAAAGCAACAAGAAATACACCACACGACCTTTTCATTGACATAGTCAAAAATAAACAATGGGATCTGGCCATGTTTTGATTTTGTAACAGTGTTTGTTTGTTGATGCCCTTTATATTCCTCACTCCATGTTTGACAAGTTCACAGACAATTAAAAAGATTGTCCCAGCATTCTCTTAGTGTTTGGAATGAAGATTGCCTGGGCACAGACAGGCAGCACAAGGTAGAGAGTGCCAGTTAAGTAATTTCAGGGTTAACATGTATATTTCTGTAAATTTCCATCTCACTAATGAAGAAGACTGCAGATTTTGCTTTCTCTCATTTTCAGTCTTTTTTTTTTTTTGACCTGACAGAGGAAATGGATTCATAATATTCTGCTGTAATGTGACATGCAGAGCTGTCAAACTGTGACACTTGGGATGAGTGAGACATTTAAACGTCAGAAATTCAATTTTTAATGGCACACTGGCAACACAGTCCTAACACTTCATCACAAGGATGACACCTTCTAAAAGCCATTTTAAAATAAATCAGAGTGGGGATGTGCTCCTTCGAAAAAAGAATGCATTTAAACAAGTTTCAGGAATGAGGAAACTGTATGACAGTTTCATTATTGGATCAATAAAATTCAGGAAATTTTGGTGGGAAGGGATTCCAGTGTGTGTGTGGAGATCAGCTCAAACCCACACAATGTGGAGCTGCTTAAGTGACCTTCATCCACTTCTAGGTGTACAAGAAGTGGATGAACACATCTCAAAGCAATTCAGTTTGCAAAAGCCCTCAGAGACCTTTAGCTTGTTGGCATTCCCAGATGGAGAAGGGGACTGCACTTACCATTCCAGGGGCTCCTGGTGTGCAGCCACCCTCGGCGGGCTCCCCACGGGACGTGGCACACGTGTCCTGCTGCTCTTCCAGAGGGCGAGGGACTGACTGGAGCTCCTCTTCCACCACCTGGGAAGACACCAATGCTCAGCCCTTGGTGCCCAGGCCCAGGTGGGCTCTCACCAAGGACAAGAGCAGCTCTGCCAAGCAGAGTGAGGAATGAGGTCTTAGAGATTTTGGGGGCACTGATGGACACAGCCTCGGGAGCTGCTTCCAGAGCCAGCATCACACTGGTTACTTTGTGATAGCAAATCGAGTCATGGCTTCAAAACATGCAAGCAAATGTTTAATATTTAATAAATAATTTACTGTGGAAGGGATTGCCTTGGACATTAGGACAATAACACAGGAAAAACAATGAATACAAAAGGAAATTAATTAATTTGTGAAAGAAAAAATGAATATAACAAAAGAAAATAAAGAACAGAAATAATACTTGGGGTTCAGTCCAGTGGTCCCTAAACACCTCCATACAACACAAAACCACTTAATGCAGTGCTGTAGTTTCTCATTTGGTTTTTTTCGGTGGTTTGTTGGTTTTTTGTGGTGTGTTTTTTTTTGGTTTTTTTTGGGGGGGGGAGTGTTTGGTTTATTTGTAAATTTGCAAAACTAAATCAACTGTCAATTAAGTCAGACTGGCTTATTCTCTCACACATGACTGGGTTTTAATTAAAATTTTAGACAGCAAATCAGGAAATAAATATGTTCTGTTTCAGATTGCAATGACAAAATCTTCACACTTTGTGATGAAATGGTTGTCAATAAAATGAAGAACAACCAAGTGACTCTGTTTCTTGTTTCAGTCTTAGAATTTAAGCTAGTATACAGCCAATATCAAAATTGTTCCTGGAGGGTTTAATTTTTTATATTTGGAGCAATCTGAATGCATAATATGAAGATAGACCTTTGTTACATTTAGAAGCCTCAATTTCTCCACCCATCCCCAGCAGCTGGTATTATTTATAGATAAGGATATAGACCTGGCTTATACAAACACCATCTGATGGGAACAGGACCTGTGGTGGCCAGACAGGGTGAAAAGACAAAGCTGCGATGTTGAAGACAATACAGATGTCATTAAGGCGTTCCTGGGTTTCTCAGTCAGAGTACTGGTACTTTTCTGCTCCATGTTACTGTGTACCTGTTGTCTAAAGGACATTATAAAACTAGAGGATGAGGTGAAACTCTTTGTATCTCAGAACATCTTTTGGGCAGTTCAGCTGTGCCAGAGCACATATGGACACACCGCTGAAATGGGCAGTGGAGGCAGCAACTCCAACAAGGCTCCAAGCAAGAGCTCTTCGTTCTCGCTACTTCTAATCTGTGAACATTTCTTATGCTCCAGAGTGAGCTCCAGAAAGCACTGTCACACACAGGAACTGAGTCACATCACTCTATCAGACACTTCCAATGATTCCTCTCAAGATCAACTGCAAAATCTACCCCAAAATTATTTCAATATGACCCATAAGTTCTTTTATATATAACTTTTTCTCTCAGCTGTTCCACTACCATATAGCAAGGATATTCCTGGTTCCTCATACAAATTCAGTATTGATTGAGAGAACCCACTCCTCTGTACCCTTTGCTCCTGCTTCAGTAAATGTCTCTTCCTATTTCTTGTGTGCTTTATAAATTGCTTTTGGAAGAAAAGTAGAGATTGAATAAAAACTTCCCCTAAGTTATTTTTCAGCTCAGACTTCCACTTAGGAAATCTGAACTTCATTTTCCGATCTATACATTAAAGCTTCAACCTCAGGTGTTCTATTTTAATTGCCTGCTATTTTCATTACCGACCATGAGGGCAGCAAATGCTCTTCAGGAGATACTTGTATTTTAATTTATCTGCAAACATAAATCACACATTATAGCACTTTTTTCCTCTAGGTTAATTGAATCAATTCTCTAAATGTCTCTATGTCCTGACCATTGCAAAAGGCTCACTGGTTGAAATCTCTTTAAGAATTATGGCCCTTGAGCTGAGTGCAGGATGGGAGCAGTCCTTGCTCCAGACAAAGCTATGTTATACATAGGAAGTAAAAAGGTATCCTTATCCATCTAAGCAATATGACCTGTGCAGCAACACCCACAATGCTGTGAGGAGCCTCTAAAATATTATTTCAGAATTTTTCACGTACCTCAGTGAATCAATTGTTTTAGAATTATAAATCTTAGTAACAATTGAGCCTAGATATGTCTTAAGTTATAAATAAACAGAATAAAATCTTTTACTTTCCTTATTTCTACACTACCTTTAACACCAGAAAAAAAGGCCTCTAAAATATTATTTCAGAATTTTTCACGTACCTCAGTGAATCAATTGTTTTAGAATTATAAATCTTAGTAACAATTGAGCCTAGATATGTCTTAAGTTATAAATAAACAGAATAAAATCTACTTTTACTTTCCTTATTTCTACATTACCTTTAACACCAGAAAAAAATGCTGATATCAAGAACAATCATTTTATTACTGAATATTCACAAATATCTAATGATGAAAACTTGATTTAACACTTTTCATACTAAAAATTTGTCAAATGGATAATTTTTAGTAAAATGAGTCAAACAGATCAGCTTTTTTACCTGTCATATTGGCCATTTTATATCCAGTAGAACTGTTAAATGCTGGCAAAATTAACAATTGGTAAATTTGCAAAATTTGCAAAAGGAAGAGGCCTAAAGAGCAGAATAATTTCTTCAAGCAACAGAGATCTAGATACAGTTAGTAAATTTACCAGTTGTTGGTAAATTTTTCATAAATTTAGTCCAAAACTGAAATGCAAATTTAAGGATTTAAGCAAGCTTCAAATAATTCAGTGAGAGTGATAAAGCAAGAAATGCTTGAAAAAAATGTTTCTTTGACTCACTTTATAAGTAGGTCAGTTTTAAAAATTAGCATTTTAGTTTAAGCCAGCAGCTGAAATGTCACCTGTCCCTCACTGGCCAGAGTGACCTCGGCAGTGCTGCAAAGAGCATGTACTGGTAACTATGAATTTATAGGGAACATGTTCTTGGGTGTAGGGATTTTATATTTAAAGATATAAGAAAACTTTGTTTTTAATTTCTCTTCAATTTACCTGTTGAAATTTATTATTTGTAAAACACATCGAGCCTCAAATGGATTGACCTTCTGCTAATGTATATCACCTAATGAATGGATGCAATTAACTAATTCATACTGGAATATTGCACTTTCCAGCTCACATCCATCATCACTAAATGTGTGATCTAGTTTGCAAGTTTAAATTTTTTATTATTACCCTTTAAACTAAAGAAATAAGTCTTGTATTTAATTACCTGAACTTACATATTCAATTAATAGCTTCATTACCTTAATGAACATAGATACCATGCAGAAGTAACAAAAGATTGCTGCTGGGTCTGCTCCCAAGTACACCCTATAAAGGGTCAGCTGTGAACCTCAGAACACCTTTTTTTTATTAAAAGGTCTTGATTGTGGAGTTTCAAAGGAATTTGGCCTGGCAATCTAATATTCTTATACAGGGGCCTGAGATAATTGTTCTAAATATTTAACACATAAAAGGAATCCCAGAAGCAAAACTTGTATTTGGAAAGACAGAGAATTTAAACAATCAAATGTGGATAATTCTGAATGAAAGGGCATTAAAAGAATGAATACCAGGCAGACTGACAACCCACCTGCTAAAGGATGAGGGATCAGTGGAACATGGAGAGAAACAAACATGCTCTTGTTGTGGGAGAGAGGGGACTGGGAGCAGCAGCTCTTACAGAATATTGTTCTCCAACAGAGGGTCAGATTGTGCCTGGATGGCTTCCTTGGAAAGCCAGGAAGAGTGGGAGACAGGTGAAAGTAGGTGGGTTGGTGAGTCAGGTACAGGAAACACTGCCACTTTCCCAGTGGAAATTAGGTTTTAGAACCATGAATCAGCTTTAGCTCCCTGTATTTGCCAAATGCACAACTTTGCTTTTGTGTGTCCGTAGAGTCAAATCTGTCATTATCTTTGGCTTTCATGTTACATTCCTTTTATCAGTTAGGTAGGCTCAGATCTCCTCCTCTTCACAACCCTACAAGTAGCCTTAATAAGTCTCAGGGCTGCTACAGGGAACCTGTGCCCTGTAGAATGATGAAAGGTTTTGATAATGTATCCCATTCCGGTTAAGAAAACACAGGATTCAGATCCCTGCAAAGCCCACTGGATATACTTTGAGGCTTTCTTCATGTTGCATTAATATATTTAGCAAGATACCTTTTGTTTTCAACAGCAAAGCTATTTGAGAAGAGGGAACTTGCAGAAAAAAAGAGCAGGGAATTGGCTAAAACAAGGCATTCTACTGTACTAAATTGATCTACGCTTTAAAAGCAAAATTCTTTTTATACTGCAACAGTCTTTCTCTGGATGCATTCAGAAAGTAAGACTTGCCCACAGCATAACCTACCAGATAAGCTCCTCCTAGAGCTGGGAGGGCAGCACAGCCCAGTGCAGCTGATGACAGTGGTGCACGTAAGCATCTGTCCAGCATTGCCCTGACACTTCCACCTGGTGCCAGCCCTGACAGCCCTGTCACGGGGCCCTCTGCAGTGGAATGTTATCTGTGCCCCTCTGTGCCAGCACGGCTGCTGAGAGATTAACCTGGCTCACAAACTCTCAGGCAGGACCTGTGTTACACACACAACAAGCTTTGAAATTTGCTGTCATCACTGATACAACTATACATAACATATATATGTGCAGTACCATCAGCTACGCACTGAAGCCTAATGGTGTGCCCAGCCAGCCAGTCAAGAACAAAGCAAAATCCTGGGTCCTGCTTTAGCGAAAGTCCAGTTTAGTTCTTCCTGAAATCAGTGCCAGCAACAGCAGACATATATATGTCAGGCCTTAAAGATTATGAGCAAAAGCCTGAAGTACACATATATGGTAAAGGTTTGATCTCATATTCGTGATACAGAAATGTTTTATCTGGACACTGAGATCAGAGAGAAGAAAGAACAAATTCTGAAGGAGTTCCCTTGTGTGCCGTGCCCCTCCTCCAAGGTGGGCTTAGCTAAACCTGAGCTGCACATTGCAAATATTTCTCACCTTGAGCACCTTTTTACCAGGGACTACAGCAGAGACAGAGGGGTGATCAGGAAATAAAAGAAATAAAGAAATAGAGGGTTTATATACTAAAACACTTAGAATACTGAATTACAATGTGTTCAGATCTTCCTCACCTGAATTTTTTCTTTGACTTCCCCGGCAGGAGAACCAATCTGTAAAACAGAGAATGCCCCTTATATACCATGCATCAGTTTCTGTATGAAAATTGAGATATAAATTAGGCAAAGGCATTTGACCAGGGACCTGAATTAGAGGTACACAGTCAGAGTTAGTCTAATTCAACTAAAATCAGCAGACTTTAAAATAATTTGGCCCATATTATTACAATACAAAAAATATATGGTGTATTTACAACCTTGGTCTCTCCAGCTGTGTTGGTTTAGGTTTTATTACATCAGTAATAACAATTTATGTGATACTCTGAATAATGTGCTATTAAAAATTCAGTACACTATATATTGTTACCCATGGGATTTAAACTGTGGGAGCTATGTGCATTATTCTCTACTTTGCTATTTCTATAGGAGTGAAGATTACTATAAAAATGGTTAGGTTATATACATCATGTGAATTCCTGCTCTGCTTGAATCCAGGCGAAGAGAAGAAATAGCTCAGCCCAGACTGCCTCGGGGGTAAGGGTCCCAAGAGTCTTAGTCTTGCAATCTAAGGTTACACCGCTCCCACATTCAAGCATGAAAACAATATCAATGTGCTTTTTGATGTCTTTAAAGGATGCCAGCAGATTTGTGAGGCATAACCTCCCTTAACAGAATCCATTTGATGCTTCTACAGAGCACCAGCTTTATCTCTGTGTCTATTGATTTTACTTTTTACAGCAGTTCATCTGATTTTCCTGGCACAGAAGTCACACTGACAGTTTTGTAGCTCCTATGATCACCTTTGAAGGACTCTCCTGAAGCACCAGCAGATCACTGGTACATTTCCTATGTTCTGTTTTGCTGACCTTAGGATCAGGATCAGCAAAAAACCAACCCACTGGCACTAGCACTTGAGAAGCTGAGCATTTTAACCCCTTGGTGGAAATGCTGCATAGCTCCAGCAATTAGTTACTGGTTAATTTATCAATTTCTCTTGAAGTGTTTCCTGATAACAATTTATTTTAGAATGGTTGGTCACACTCAGCCCATCAAATCTAGCAAGGCAAATAATTATTTTAGCTGTGGACATAGCCACACTGAATGCTCCTTCTGTGCTTCCATCCTCCATAGCTTTACTTACAGGCTCACAGGACTCCTCTGGTAATGGAATTTGAAAACATCTAGACTGTTACTTTCATATTCTTGGCAAAACCTTAAAATCTTTTTGGTGACCTTTCTTGTGGTTCTACATTTAATATGTATGCTTTTTACTTACTTATATAACTTCCATTTTTGGAAGATGTCTTCATTCTCTTCCCTCAGATGACACAGTTTCAATATTTATGGGTGGCACTGCTGGTATCCTTATCATTCTGATTCTGGGAGCAGGGCCCAGGTGAGGGAGCAGTAGAAAACAGTAATCACAGTGCATTTTCTTTCCCTTTTTCAACCAGCTGTTCCATTGCATACAACTAAAAGACAGTAAAACAGAGGATTAATCAAATAGATAGTAATTAAAGTCAAAGGTTTCATGGTGTTTATATTCACACTTGTCTTTCTTAAAATGCTACATATTTGTTAGATTTGGTAAATATCTTAGAATCTCTTTCTTAAATATAAGAAAAGGAGAAATTGAATTCAAATGTTCTGAGCTGCCCCCTTCTCTCTTTGGAAAATGAGGCAGTGCCTTTAAATTGCCACGTGTCAAAAGCTGGAAGGATTTACGAAGGGAGCAGTCTTCCCCTGTGTACTCTGTTCTTCAACACTTTCTTAGAGCACCTGAGTTCTCATTATGGAGCTGAGGAGAACCTTTGGTCTAACTTAGCATCCCAGTTCTTATTAATGGAGTTAAATCATATGATTTTTATAAAGTATTGAAGAAAATCTGATAAAAGTAAATATGAAATAGATGTATTTGTGGCAGTTCTCCACCCTGCAAAGACAGAAAATTCATATAAGGAAGTCATCATGATCTGGACAAATGAGTATGAATTTCTGTCTCTGACATGTTGTTACCCCACTATTAGTTGAAAAATAGCATTAATGTTTTTATACCTGCTATGAGACCAAACTCAGAGGTATCTACATACTACTAGGTGAGCAAGACTTGCATCTGCATAAGAGAAAGAATTGCTGTGGACAAACAACTAAAAATTGCTTTGATAAACATGTTTCTTTACTTATTTATCATTTTCCTGAAAGAGAGGAAGTGGTTTATCTCATTCCTCCCAAGCATCCTCCCTCAGTTCTAATGTACACATTATTCTGAAAGAATTCTCTCACAGACGTACACGCTATGATAATTAAGGTCCTGAATAATATGTTTGTTTCTCAGTGGTGTGGGGTAAAGGTTTTCCAGCTGCCATACACAGGCTATTTTCAGGGCTCAGCTGCCTGTGCCACAGGCAGGACCTGTGGAGCAGGAGCTGTGGAGCAGGAGCTGGAGCTGTCCTGCAGCAGTGTCACCGCCTCTGCACGGTGTCCCCGGTCAGGCAGCACCAGCACAGATGCTGCCATCTGCTGCTGCATCAGCTCCTGCTGCTCCACGGGCCAGCGCTTCCACAACCACCTGGGGACACACTGCTCTTTGCATGCACAGGTAGAGAAAGGTGAGTGAAAGGATGCAGAAAAGCAGTTAGGGATGAAAAGTGGGTGGTGGGGAGAACAGGAGGGTTAAGGGATGAAGCTGGTGGTGGTAAGTGCTGCAGGGAACACACATCAGGAGCTAGCTGGAGGCTAGGAGGAACACTGATGGGATAACAAGTGGCTCATTTCCCTAACCCTGTAAGGCTCTGCCCTGTTTAGGACAGATACAAACATCACCTACAATACATGCCAAAATAATCTACCACAACTGGGCTGAGGTGTCAAGCCAAACAGCAGAAAATACCTGTAAATCAACCAGACAGTGTCAGGTCTGTATCACATCTGATAAAACTGATGAAGATGCTGAAGAAATAAAGGTGTAATATTTTTCTCTAGGAGGCGCAGTTCTTTGAGATATTTGGCAACTTCAAGTCTTAAGACCATGGAAAATAATATTATAATGCTCCATATTATAGCAACCATGCACTTTTAAGCTAAACGTACAGGAAATATATAGTAACTCAGTGCTTCACTTCCCTGTTCTGCCTTGCAGGGAGCCACTGGACCAAAGCAGATTTCATTAAATGTTCTTAATTTATTCTGCCTCGTTGCTCTTTTGTAAACAGGGAAGTTCACTAGAGAGCAAGGCATTTAGTCCAAAAAGAGTATTGTGAGTGAATATGCAAATTCAAGACACATCACCAAGGTAAGATTCCTCATTAGCCACTGAAATGTCTCAGAAGTTAAGGGCTTTTGTGTGCAGGGTACAGCACGCAATTCTCCCAGGCATTCGCTTTCTTTACAACTTCCCCTTGAAAAATTCTTTGACAACCAATAGTAGCATGGTTTAAATCCCAATCCAGGTCAGAGAGAAATTTGCAACTATATATTGGTTCCTTACTTGTGGTTTATCTTTTTGCCTTTCTTTTTGATCAGGATGATAGAAACAACATTTTATTCATTCTTACCAGGATTAAAAAAAAAAAAGTAACATAGGAAAGGTAATGATTAATCCATTCTGTAAGAAAAAAGAAGAAATCTGATTGTGAACTTACTGGTATTATCTAACCAGTATAAATAGAAGTGCACTCAGAGAAGGCATAGAATGACAAACCCATGAATTGTTAGGGCATGTTGAGTTGGTTCTGTCAATGCCTGCAGTCAGATGATTTCACTGGCTGTACAAGATGAAATCTCATATTTCAATGTTTAAGTAAAAGTGTCAAAGTTCAGCTGGAGCAGGGACGAATACAGAACAAATTTTGTGTGTATTTGTAACTAGGGCACCAGAGCAATAGAGGAAGCCAAAATGAGCCGGAAAAACAAAAGGAGTTTAAAGGAGAAATTTTCCTTGAAGAACAGCCTGGTTAAAGAAGCCCTCTCAGAGTTCCTGGGAACTTTTATACTGATAGTAAGTGTCAGCTGCTTTCCTTTCTTCCTACTAATCTAATGTTGGACAGTGCTTGTAAGGGGACATGTACGTTTTTCTTGTACTGTGCCAGCAGTGAGGTTACAGCCTGACCATGCACAGCTTGAATGAATTGCTCCTACGATGGTAAGTTTGTAATTCCTTTCTTCACCCCATGTAATTATCACTGCCTATAAAAACCAGATTGTTTTATGTACTACAATTGTCTGATTGGCATTAGATTTCATCTTGGAGTAGAATTTCAGTGAAGGAGCACGCTCTGAACAGTCCAGATATAGACAATGGATGTTGTTAATACTCTCCTGGTTTTTAAAAACTCAGCAGTTCATTTTATGCACAGATTCTGTTTACATTAACAAACATATTGTACTGCATGTTTAGAAAATTTTAGTTGTTTTCCTGTGTAATATAGGAATTTAGCTTTGTGATTTGTAGTGAACTTATTGGGAGTTGCATTACCAAACCTTCGGAGATTTTGTAAGTTAAAGGTTAAAATTTTTTGTTTTGTTAATATACTATTATATATCTATATATATATATATATATAGCTTGGTCCTATAGTACTGCTACAACTTAGATTAACACCTAAATTTCCGATTTTATAACCCCAGATTTTATTTTATTTTTTTACTTAATTTCTTGTGCAGTTTTTCTGTGCATTTTGCACTGGAACTGTGACTCACCAGGGGAGAGAGCAGGCTGTGTAGCAGAGCTGGAAGTCAAGCAACTAGACTATTTATGCCAAACTTTCTTTCTTTCTCCTTTTAGTCTGGACAAAGCAGTATTGCGTATTGCTAAATATTTCATCATAGTGAAAAAGGGGGGGAAAAAGGTAGCAGGCACAGTACTGACATAGGTTTTATAACTGTAACTATATCAGCTAAATTTCAAGTAAGTCATCTAAAAATTCCAGTAGCTCATAAAATACTGGAAATTATGGTCTTTACTACAGTTCAGCCGACTGAAGTGCACCGACACTAAAATAACATTATTCTCAAATTTAATACCATCCATAAGACGTTATTACAGTAAGGAGCACATTTAGAAGCAAGGAGCACAGAGCACTTTACAAACATTAATGAATTAAATGTCACAACACCCTGGTAAGGAGGGGAAATGTCATTATCTTCATTTTGTATATTAGCAAACCTGATTACAGGAGCCTGCACAGGAAGCCTGTGGCAGAACTCTGAATAAAACCCACATCACCTGACTTCCAGTATTCTGCCCTCACCACAAGATCCTCCCCCTCTTTCCATTAATAAAATTAAGCAAGAGAAGAAAATATATTAAAGTGCAGATTAGACTGCAAATGCTATTATTTAATATTATGCTGCACAAGGCTAGAAAGGAAATGCAAACCCAGATCCTATTTTCTGGTATATTCACCATATGAGTGTAGTAGAAAATGAAGCTACAAAATTGTTGTTGACAATCTGAGTTTCTCATTTCTCTTACCCTGTCTAGTTTCAGTCTTGGTTTAAAGCAGAAAGAGCCTCACCTGGATTAAGCTGCAGTTTTCTCAGTGCTTGGATACCTCAGCTTGTGTTCAGACTGCACAAGTGACAGCAGTACCAAGTGTTTATTGTGAAGAAACTGCCTTTTCTGCTGTTGTCTTAAGCTGCGCAGGGGGAGTTTAGGTTGCACATCAGGAAGAAATTCTTCACTGAAAGAGTGATTGGGCACTAGAATCACCTGCCCAGGGAGGTGGTGGAGTCACTGTTCCTGAAGGCGTCTAAAAAAAGATTGGACATGGCACTCAGTGCCATGGTTTAGTTGTTGAGGTGTTGTTAGGTGATAAGTTGGACTTGATGATCTCAAAGGTCTTTTCCAATCTAGTTTGTTCTGTGAGTCTATTTATTACTGTAGCTTGTGTTCAGACTGCACAAGTGACAGCAGTACCAAGTGTTTATTGTGAAGAAACTGCCTTTTCTGCTGTTGTCTTAAGCTGCGCAGGGGGAGTTTAGGTTGCACATCAGGAAGAAATTCTTCACTGAAAGAGTGATTGGGCACTAGAATCACCTGCCCAGGGAGGTGGTGGAGTCACTGTTCCTGAAGGCGTCTAAAAAAAGATTGGACATGGCACTCAGTGCCATGGTTTAGTTGTTGAGGTGTTGTTAGGTGATAAGTTTGACTTGATGATCTCAAAGGTCTTCCAATCTAGTTTGTTCTGTGAGTCTGTGATTGTATTTATTGCTGTAGTTTTTAAACTGTGTCAGCTAATAAGCACTTAAAGCGCAGATAAATATTAAACCCTTAATTTCAATTGGAGCTAATGAAAGAGGCACCCTAGTGAGTCAGAGGACAGAAATCTTTGAAAAACAGCACGTATGCAAAAGAAGTTATAGTAACAGGATAGTGGAAGAACTCTGTGTTAAAGCTGTTACAAATGGGGAGGAGAGCTCACGGCCTACAGCACAGTTGATTCATGTTTTTGCTGAAAGCCACTTGGGGTTGCTGTGACTGGGTTTAGAGACCGTGGAGAGCACCTGTGCCAGGGAGTGAGGCTGAGACAGCATTTCTGTTAGCTACAGGCTCTGTCTGGAAGCCAGTGCTAACTGACCACACCTCAATCTGGGACCCACTGCTGGGAGTTAGCTGGATGAAATTCTGTCCCACCAAATCACGTATTTCTATTTTTTCTAGAAAATAACATCAAAGGCCACATACTAATAGGAGCCTAAGCTACCATCTTTGGTAATTCTCAGTCTTGCAACATTATTTTACAAACAGGAAATCTAGGAAGTGGAATCACTCATCAAACAAAAACCCAGCCTTCACCTCAGGGTGTGGCCTGCAATGTCAGACAGATTTGACACAACAAGGCTTGAGAAAGGCACTGGGCACAGAGTCTGGATAAAATCTCCTGGTCAGCCCTACTTAGCATGCTGCAGTTTGCCTTGCAGCATGGACTCAGAGCACGTAGCCAAAATTCTTTCCAGGTGAAAATAAAGTAGAAGATGAGCTCCAGAGTCACAGGAAATGTGCTGACCATTAATGGATGCTCAGTCCAGTGAATCAGACTGGAGATGCTCCAAATAAGTAATCCCTCCCAGGAGATCCACAATCAGGTTCTCAGGTGCTTACATTACACAACATGATAATACAGGCACAGCCCACGTGAGCCATGCTTAGCAAAGCACCCAATTTCAGTAAGAAACATGAAACTCCAGGAGCCTGGAAGCATCCTGAGCTGGGAGAACACCTGCCTGTTTGCACCATGGTGGCTGAGAGCCCAGCCTCAGAGAGTCTCAGCCTCTGGCAGCTGGGACTGGCCCCAGAGTCTCCCTTGAGGAAGAGCTCTCTAGGGAACTTTTAGTTCTCCATCATGTTTCCTGGTTCAGTACATTTCCTTGGGGGACTTCTCTGAGTTAATCTGGGGGACAACACCTGTGTGCTAGCACAAAAGAGTCAGGAAGCCAGGCTGCATCAGATAGATGGTTTATGTGGCTTTTTAGTGAGTCTGGCTGGAACTCACCTATCCAACTGCCTCTCTGCTTTTAATCATGCTCCTCTCCATAATTCCTCTTTGGAACTTGACTGCATTGCTCTCAACCAAAATAGGATTTACTCTGACTTACACCATTAAGTATATCTGAATTGAAACAGTTCCAAAAGGAGATGCCAAATAGGCCATGTGGCTTCCTTTAACAGCTACTGCTCACCTAACACAGTTTCTATTTCATTTTCACTCTCAAGAGCATCTTACTGAGCAGAGTTTCCCAGAAAGGAGCTGCACAGGAGCCAGGATCTCCAGAGGCCAGAACAGCATTCACTTCCTTGCTGAGACAAAACACAGGCTTCCATTTAGCATATAAATACAAGTGGGGAGTATATATGCTCCTAATAGATACCTATATATGTATTCCTAAGTACATATTCCTATAAGCCTGGTCTCCAGCTGGAGGTGGGGAGCCTCCTGCAACTCCCATGGAAGCAAATGTTTGTGTGTGCTTAGAGGATTCAAGGCACAAGCATTAACTGAATACATGACAGCCCTGAAAGAGTTCAGCTAATGAGGAAGGCTATTTATCATCAAAATATTTTAGTCCTGTTTTTATATTCTGATCACTTCATTATGCAAGTTATTTCTCCTGCTCTGTTGCAGAGTTGAGTTGCTTCAGAAAAATCTTCAAGATTGGCATTATATGGATTTGCTCAGTCCAAAAGATTAAAATTGAAACCATTTTTCTATATTTACTTTTTGTGGCCCTACATTCCAGTGCACGTTAACTGCAATACTGCAGGGTAACATATATCCCTTTTTCTAAACATGCATTAGAATTCTCATTACATTATGTTATTACATGAAGGAAAACACAACTTTTGATCCTTTGCTCCTTAAATAGGTGTTTAACATTTAACACAAAACCACTACTTAGAAATTTTAAACAAAGATAAATTCCAAGTCCTAAATTTTCGTGAAAGGGAGACTTTTTCGTACAGGATAAAATTACAGCAACTTTTGTCTAAGGTAAAACATTAAATATCAGCATGTTCTAACAGTTGTCTTGTTTGCCATCAGCAATTAATTTCCTAGAGTACAGAATCTTGTACAATTAGCTCTTAGTGAACTTAAGTTTGTCTAAGCTAGAGAAGAGGGTATTAAAACTTATTTATAATTGCTATTTTGATCTGTCACTCAGCATTTAAAATATTACACAATGCTACAAATACCATGAGCCTTAGCAGTGTTTGCACTTTGAAGAGCAGCTCTTATGTCAGAGATCCATACATTTGGGTCTCTGGCAGCAAAAATATAGTACAACCAATAAATAATAGATGCCACTCATGAATCTAATGTTATATAGTTGCATATATTTTGATGGCATTACATTTTGCTAATGATTCTGGTGAAGACATACAAACTCTTCTTCTTTTTGAAACTGTACTAAATCAGCATTGCAAACAGAAGACAAAGTGGTAACAGAGACCCTTAGTTGTACTGAGGTTAAGGAGGTGTTCTTGCACACTGTTGTTATTTTTATAATCTTATTATTATCAAAATCAGGGGGTTTTTTCTAGACAGTCCTTCTGCTTTAGAAGTCATTCTTTAATTCAGCTGAATATTAGACAGTGTGAAAAATTTGAGAGGAAGGTTAGCTAATTATTCTTTTATCCCAAAATATTTAGGCAGCAAAACATTCTGAAAAATCATGGGAATCTTTTGTTTTCCATCCAAACTTAGGTTCCCCAGTATATGACATATCAAACTTTTAGGTGACTCAGATGTTGTGTTACATGAAAGCTTTGAAGAAAATTATTTTCATTTTTGCAACGTCAGCCCCAGCACCTAACTCAACACTCATTGTTTAACCAAGAGGTTTCAGTAAGTTGAACTAAATGTCCCCAAACCTTTTTTGTGGATCCCCTTCTCCCCAGAAAGTTTGCATCTATAGGACTGAAGCATAGGCACCTCTGCCTGAGACTTACAGAAGACTTCATCTTTCCAACCTTCAACTGTGAATGCAAAACTTGAATTTATATTTCACAGACACAAATTTACAAGGTGTTTTTTTCAAAAGTTTCACCAAATAAAAGAAAGGTAATAAAAGTAATAACTTTTTAAAGCTGTCATAAACAGTTGGAGAACAGAATAAAAGACAATAAATGTAGTTTGTGCTATGCAGTGAGTTTATATCTGTGATCTCAACAGTTCAATAAACCATTCTGGTTGAAAGGAAATTCTAGGGAGCTCTCCAATCCATGGTCCAGTTTAAAGGCAAATGTGACTCAGTTCCTCTAACCCATTCCTCACAGGTTTCTTTACTATTAAAAGCATTCAGCTTTCTTTTTTTTTTTCCCTCAACAGCAAACAGCTTAGATTTTAATTACTCCTAACCATGTACCTCTAACCATGAGGACACAGCAGAGATCCAGCCCCCCTGTTTCTGCAGGCAAAGGAAGGAGTAAAAGAAAAGGAACAGGCACCCTTATACTGCAGGAAGAGGACAGAAAACCTCCTTCCTCAATGCCCACTCTTGCACACTTTCTCAATACTCCCGTTCCCTGAGAGGTGGTGCAGAGACTAAACATATTTTAGTAGTTTAGAAAGATTTAAAGCTTTTCAGTTGGGGTAGGAAGCAAAGCATTATAGCTCAAGAAGAAATGAGTAAGGTGGAGGGAAGCAGCACTGAACAGGTTCTTTTTCTATTCAAGGCTGCTAGGTAAGATTTGGTTCCTTTGCCTGGCCTTTTCTTTCTAGCCCAACAGCCAATGTTTTATTCCTGAAAGTTTGTGTCTGAATATTACATTTCATTTTCTTTCCTGAATTTCTAAAAATTTGTAAGAAAATAAAAACAGCTTCAGTGAAGAAACTGACTCAAACCAGTTGCCCTCTATAATTCAGGAAAGAAAAGCATTTAGCATTTCAGGATGGAGTGTGCAATATTAATCATAATTGAGAAAATGCAGACTTTTGCATTCTCTCTACGTGATTTCAAACTTTTATTTGTCTCCTACTGCATATGCAAAAGCGTTCATAAAATTTAAAAGCATCAGTTTATATAACACAGCATATTTTCATATTCAATATTTTCATTATTTTTTTCCCACAAAGCAATTTGAACCTGATATTTATACGTTTTTAAAGCTTCACATACGCAAATCATCTGAAGTTTTATTAAATTTAAAGTCATGTCTCCAAGTAGTAATGTCTCTTTCTGTCACTAGAAAATGGTTTCAAAATGGCAATAATTTTAAGGCTTATGTCTATACTACTTAATTAACTGAATGTAAGGGCTTGGGGGTTTTCGCACCCCTTATTTATGAGATAGCAAGTCTGAAAAAAAATTCAAATCCATCTGAACCCAGGAGGATATTGGTTGTTTCCCAGAAGAACATCAGGAGAACGGATATAGTGACTTTTTATTGCTCTAAGCTTGATTAAATCATAACGTACAGAAATCCTCCCCAACCCACCAAAACATTTCATTAATGATAAAATAAGAGCTGTGACTGGTAAGCTGTATTTTTTATCTTACCTTTAAAAGTTTAAGTACTCTCTGATTTAACAAAATATACCAAATATTAAGCATTAAATTGGATGAGGACTGGTCTTTCCTGAAAGGGTTTTCCTGTAACCTGAATTCTTGCAGAGCTAATGCCCTGAATTTTAGAAGATCTAACATGTCTCTGTTTTTGTTACTTTTAGCGTTACTGTGCCTGTTGAAAGAATGCGTAGAAACCCTATCTGAATTAAGATCCTATGTAATACACAGCAAAAATACATCTATGTGTGGAAAGAGTTTCTAATATTAGAAAACATCTTATTATGAAATTCAATAGGTAAATTCTTAAGCAGACTTGATTTGTAAATGAAGGGGGTGGAAATGAAAGTGAGTTCTAAAACACACTCCCTTAGGAAGACACCACCAATTTACCACACCTCAAACTGAAAAGCTTATTTACTACTTTTATAAGTAGCTAATCCTATTTGGAAATATTAATGTTGGGTAGGGGAACTGCACCAGACTACAGTACACCATGAAGAATGCTGTAAAGTTTTCATAGGCACAGATCCCTACCTGCACAGAAGGGCAAGTACAGCCACTATTTTTCTCGGATTTCATGGCTGAAGTGAGCAGTTTATGATTAAATACTATTTTTTTTGCACCTGCTGACTGTATTCCTTATAACACACTGAGTTCCTGTACTCATGCACAGCATCATCAGCTGTGCAGCCATGGAGGCCACACTCTGCCTGCAGGGACACCTGTGGAACCCACTGCAGGTGTGTGTCTCACCACAGCTGGAGCTGGGGATGAGCAGAGTCCAGCATTGCACAGCTCATTGCCCCCACACTGCTCAAAAGCTTGGTTGCCTCTTTAATGTGACAGTCAGAAGGTGTGGCTATAAATGCACACCACTTCTAAGACTGTGTGATTAGAAAGGGGCTTTTGATATAAGCATTCTTTAAGATGTCTAAAACTTTACTGGCCATGTAGGAAAACAGCTAAAATTGTGGTTTCAGGTCTTGCAGAAATCCTATTTACACTGAAAATTGCTATTACAAGCATTTGGAAAAATCCTGAAAATAGTAAAGATGGAGGCAAAATTATCTATAATCTCTCTGGTGAGTGGGATACAGAAAGTCCTGCAAGCTTCCAGACAGTAACAGGACCTTACACTCATTGAAGGCCAGCTGTTTTCCTTTCCTAACATTAGCCTTGTTAGCTAAGACAAAGAGAATGATCTAATGGGCTATGAAGCAAGTTTTTTTTGTAGAGAAGGTTCAGAGAGTTATTCCACACCCAAGCATATTCTTCAGGGCAGTAATGCCTTTATGAACAAAAACAAGTCAGTGCTGAAAGTACTCCAGTAATTTTAAGCACATCAAGCTATAGACAATTGCTGAGAGGAAAACCTGGCAACATAAGATAGACAAGATAAGATAAAGAGATCTGGCTACATTCTATGTAAATTAAACTCCCATTTACTCCATGTTCTTCAATCAGTGAGTGTTGTGGGTGCAACTGATGGCTGAGCTTGGCCTAAAATCTTAGAATATTTAATTACAACTAAATTATTTAGTTGGTCTTAACTCAGTCAAGCAAAGACTTACAAGGTATTAAATTGTTGTTTGTGTAATTACATGACTAGGTGATAGTTTCCAGTTGCGCCAACCTAGCTACAGTAGGCATGAGGCAACACTTTTCTCTCATTCTTAAAAGGTCAGCAAAAGGAGAGAGGATTACAGTGACACAGGTCAGACCTGCAGGCTCAGCTCCCAGTTTTGGGCACACACTGGCTGTGCCTGCAGCAGCATTTAGTCATTGTACATGAGCAGGTCCACCAAGTGCAGCTGTGCTCCAGCTGGCTCACATGTTTTCTCTGTAGAAGAGAGAGGTTAGCTCAGAAATGGAGCATCTGTAGTTGTGTGTTTCCACAAGGCCTGCAGAGCAGGAGCTACAGTGCAAGAGGACTACACAGCTGTTCTGTATGACTCTCCTCAGTTCTGGTAATAAAGAAAGGGAGCCCACAGCCTCCCTCCATTATTTCCTTCCCTTCTCTTGTGAATTAGTAGTTGATATACATAGATGTTGCTACCCCCTATCCTTTTCTATAACCATCTTCTCAACTCTGTTCTCTTTTTCATCATCCTTACAGAAAGGAGTACTGTTTTCAAAAGAATGGCCTTTGAATCTGCAAAACTTTGCCTGTGCCATTTCAGAGCACAAGTGCACACTGTACTTGTAGATTGAGCTGTTTACCTGAATTCAACCTGCACCCCAGTATGTGCAGGGGCCCAGAGCAGCCTACTGAACTTGCTCTTCATCTAAGTCATATCTTTCCCAAAATCTTGCTTGGTGCAGTTTCTGGAAGACTCCTTTTAAGAAATCTGCAAAGTGAGAACTAGAGCATGTTAATTCCACATCCTCTAGATTCTTATGAATTCCAGCAACCCATTCTTTCCCTTTAAACATACAAACGCATTATGAATTGCCTCATATGAAGTTTAAAAAAAGATGTCATTTCAGCTGTGACCAACTCCAACGTGTGTTATTTTGGTTTGCTATCTGCATTTGTGCTTATCACGTGCATTGCAGGTGAGAGCAGGGCTAACGCAAGCGTGACTCGTCTGTTGCACAGCAGCTGACTGGAGCTTGCCCTGTGTCCTGGAGCTTTTAATTATACAGTCCAATAAACTGTGGCTATCTAACACCACCCTACCCTTACATAACCAGAGCTGCAACACTCTGGCACCAGTGAGTGTTTTGTTTGCTTACATGATTATGACCTCAAGGCAAGAGCTGCACCTGGGCATGACACAGTCTCAGGGCACTTAGAAATGCCGTCTGCATTCAAAAGCTGCTTAGGAGTGTAATTTATTGAGAGCTTTTCTGTCATATTTTGGTATTAGCTGAAACCCTTGGGGAAATAATGGAAACAAAAGTATGATTTTCCTGTTTAAATTGCATCTATTCTAGCAGAACTTGCTTGTTAAACCTCAATCACCAAATCATTTTGGTACAGTCTATTTCTAAGACAAGACAGATTTTCCCATTACTTTGCAGTTTCTGAATGCAACTGCCTCACAACTGAAAATAAGCAATAAGGTTGCTCAACATATATCTAGTCACATCCCAGAAATTGTGTGATTCACATCACTTACAGCTGCAGAGAAGCAATAGTTTTCAGACTATAGAAATTATTTGAGAGCTTCCATAGAGTATTGGCTCCTTGTTCAGCACAGCACATAGGCATATATTTAAAAAGCAGATTTTCAAAGACACAGAAATGAATCAGCTAGTCTATCTCAAACTAAAAGGTTTTTGTCCCTTTGAATATGTTTCCTGTCATTTTAATAGGCTCTAAACATATGCTTGAAGGTAAGCAGAGGCTTTCAAACTGAATAAACATCATCTTGAGCAAATATTTAAACCTGTTACTGAACTTTATTCTGAGAAGAACCAACAAAAATCCCAAACTAGTTTAAATTCATTTAGAATTCTTCAATGTGAATTATTTAGATATCTCCACTTCAGTTAATTGTTCAAGCTGCAGAGCCAGTGAAATATTTTGCTAGAGAAATAGATGATATAAAGTCAGCATAACGATAACACACAATGTAAATACCAGAAAGTTGTCTCAACCCATAGTTTAAGCACTAAACATTAAAAGCTTTTTGAACTATCTTTCATAACTTTTACAGCAAATTTTTCATCACTTATCACATCACTCTGGAGCTGAGAACTTACCTCACAGAATTAATTTCACTTTCAGATGCAGAGTTTTGTTGTAGAGGCAGTGCAATCTTGTTTGGCTCCAAGTTCTGCTCAGTATCCCCTCATTGTGCCTGAGAACAGCTTTCTGTGTGGAGAGAGGTCCTCATTAGCAGACATTCTTCCCTGTGACAGAGACGAGGAAAATAAAAAGCAAAAGTGCGTTGCAGCAAAGCCAGCAATGGCACACATGACAAACCCCAGCACTGTTTCAGAATTCAACAGCATTTGCAGCTATACCAGGAGAGCAGAAGTCCCATCCAGCAGCACTTGACAGACAGAGCTGTGATTTACACCTGTCTTTCCCCACCAGGCCCTGGGCTGTGGCTGCGTGGGCCAGGCCGTGCTGAGCCGCGGGGCGCACGGCGGGCCCATGACGGTGTCGGTGGGCTTTGCCATGGCAGTCACCATCGCGGTCTACGTGTCCGGGGGCGTTTCTGGTAAGTGGCTCTTTTTCTTGTTTAGCATTTACTGCTGCAGTGCCAAGGCACCCTTGTTAAAGGGCTTCCACTCCATGGTATAAACAGTCACGAGTTAGCAGCAGTAAGCACCTTACAGCAGAGTCCACACCAGAGTTTTGCTAGTAAAACTTGTGTGTTCTTATTTCCGTTATTCTTTCTGTTTGACAAAATGTCCCACCAAATTGTGATCTCAACTACAGTGTGAAAACCTTGGCAGACCTCTCTGGCTTTTATGGAAAGTGTTCCATGTAAATTAGAAATCTGCTTGGTGTTGCTTTGAAAATTCTGTCAATAGAGATGATCCTAGGCAGAACATGCACTGTGTTTAAATAAATAACCACAAGGAGCAATCTAGCAGTCACCAGATAAAATGGTGGCCAGCTACACAGAATGCAGAATGACCCACTAATGGGTAAAATGAACAGGATCCATCTTACAGAGTGCAATTTGTTTCTTCATGTCCTATGACAGGCAGTAGCAAGTCTGTTCCTGTCTGATTATTCACAGAAGCAGCAGATCATAGAAAGCAGAAACAGCAGAAAGATTCAGTACCAGAGATCCATTCAATGACACTGTCAGTGTACTGTTCTTTCCCCCTTACTCCTGCTGTAACACTTGCTCAAGCTGTATTGGTCAGGAGTCTCTCTTTAGCTGGGGCTAAATTACCTGGGCTAACTAACCAGTGTCCACAAGTGCCATGTTGGAGGCTGCCTTGTCTCCCAGTTCCACCATTCAATTTGGCCAAACTAAGATTGGAAACATTAACATAAATGATTTAACAATTAGAGTCTTCCTTTAAAATAGAAAATGATGGGTTGCAAGAACAATGCTGTGCATAAAAATACACAATACTTTGTGTTGTATGCAGAGTTTATTTTATATTGGCCTTTGAAGCAAATGGTGCCCTTGTACTCTGAGGTCTCATAGAGGCATTTCTTACCCTTCATAAGAGGGTCAAGTTGGCCTGGACAAATTTCTTTAGGTATAATTAGGACATTAGAAATAGTTGCTGTAACAGAAATTACTGTGGCCATTTCTCTTCTCTTTACAAATTCTTTTAAAAAGGCACCATGCAGAAGGTTTCCATTAGAAAGTCTCACATTAGAAAATGCTCCAGGTTCTACAAAACAGGCAGTCTTGTCACTGCCACTGACACAAACCAGAACTGTTCCTTAATATCACACAAAATTAATTCAGCAGCACATTCCTATTATCTGAACAACTTTTAACTACAGCTCTTGGTTTACATGGAGGCAGCTAAACTCTTCTAATGCAGTATCATGAAAACAAACCTGTGAAGACCTGGCCTACATTTGCACCTTTAAGGGATATTCATCTCCATCATTATGTAGAAAATTAGAGTTCAATCCCAGCAGGGCAGAGCAGTTGCAGATGTTGCAGTATTGTGCTTCCTGTGTTTTTCCCATGACAAAGGATTCTGCATGCAGTGCATTTTCTCTGTGAAAAATAGGAACAGATATTTCAACAGGCTGTTATTATCCAACACATGATTACTAGTGGACACTTCAAAATACAAGTTCCAATGCAGAATATTTTAGCAATTTTTGAGGCTCTTGGGTCAAATTCTCATTTTTAGGTAGTGCTAAAATATTTTTCATTACGTAATTCTAAATTAATGCTAACAAAATACATAGTCTGCATGCTTGGTGAATTTGAGCTTTTTATTTAGGAAAATTCCCCTTTTTCATTTTCTTCCATCCAGTTTTCCTCAATATCTAGATAATTTCCCACTATTTTATCCAACTTAGCATTTCAGAGCCATGACTGTGATCACTGTAACTACAAAAGAAGGAACACACTGTCCAAAGTGAATTTTTTTTTAAACCAGTGGTACAGGAACCAAGAATCTTGTAACTCCCCTGTGTCAGCATGAGGGCCTTCAACTAGACTTTGCCTTTCCATATTTAATGTTAATCAGGCCTCTGTAATATTATTATAACTTGTCCTGGCCATCATAGTCACCCTGTATTATATACAGGTGGGAAATAAAATCAGGTGTTGAAAGAAAGGAAAATTATTAATTCCAGCCAGAGTAAGGAACAAAAGACAAGACAACAATTAATCAAAATTCACATGAAGGGCTGTTAAATTAGGTGCCATCTATCTATTTGCTCCGTGCTGAAGAATTTGAAACACAGTGAGGAATTCAGCTTTTAATTCGAGACTGGTGCTACTAGGTCAGCATTTGGAAATGCTACAAAGAAGGTTTTATCCAGCTTATCTGTGTTTGTCAGTTCATTATGTATCAAAGGTGCCTGGATTTCATAAGATAATGACTCACTGACCTGAAGTGCAAACAAACACAGAAACTGTACATAGAAGCCCTTTCTCCATCACTAATCTTTGACAGATAAAGGACATGCTCTTTCAGTTATTTTACCAAAGACAAAGGCCATTTTTTTCTGATATTCCTACAGACTGAAATAAGACCTTATCTGGAAGATAAGCAAAGGCTCCTATGTACTTGCAAAATTTGGGGCTTTTATTATTCAGTATTTATTACAAAGAAGTACCTGTTCATTTATTTGGCAATTTGTATTTCTTAAGTAGCAATCATGTATCTGTAAGCAATAAAATTTTCCAAGACCATACAACACCTTTTTTGTTGACAAAAGATGTTGAGGGAAGAGACCATATGACAAAATAAACATATCTTAGAAACTAAAATTGTCATGAAGAATTCCAATGCTACTGAAATATTTTTCATGCATAAGTTCAGATGTAGCTACTCCTCAATAAAAAAAGGAAGGAAGTTTCACAGGAAACTGAACTTTGTTTCAGCACGGCTACTTTATCAGTTTCCTTATCATGGACCTTTCTGGAAAGCACAAGAACCAGATAGAAACATGGTGCAGGACTATGCACTGCTGCCCCCAGATTCCAGCTAGGCACAGCTCACCAACAGCCAACATGAAACTGGACAGCTCTAACGTTATTTGATTTTGTCTCCATGAAAATTGAGTTCCTAAGTAACCCCAAGTTGAAGACAGGGACACAAACATGACAAATCCAGGGCACTGTAGAATTGTCTCAAGATACATGCTCAAGCCAGTAAGAGTCCTTAATCCTAATATGTGCTTGGGATACTAAAGGAATGTTCTTCTGCCCCAGTTCTCCCCTAAAAATAAAGCCAAAGGTCTCGAGGAGAGGGAATAAGTGCAGAATAAGGGACCTCCCCATCCCAACCAAGGGGGCAGGTAACTATTTTTCTGGAAAAGTTGTCTGTAAGTTACATCCTGCAGGACAGCAGTCTGATAAAGAGCACAGTCCACAAGCATCAAGAGTAAAGATGCATCTTAGTGGCTTTTGCCCTCCCTCCTCTGATTTCATCCAACTTGCTTCAGTTGAATTGCAGTCACCATTTAACTGCAAAATAACATCTAGAAAACCATGTACTGTTCTGGTGTTCAAAAGTGCCCACATCTTTACAAATCCTTCACCTATTCTCATGTATCTGAGTCATCCACATGACTTAATTTTTGATTTATTTTTCAGGTGGTCACATAAACCCAGCTGTTTCATTAGCCATGTGCGTGACTGGAAGATTAAAATGGACCAAATTACCAATTTACATATTAGCACAATTCCTGGGAGCATTCGTTGGAGCAGCGGCTGTCTTTGGGATTTATTACAGTGAGTACACCTTAGACATGTTCACAGGACAAACTAGAGGTCAGGCAGTCTCTAAGGCCCCAATTTTTCAATGAATGTCAGGCAGGCAGAGGACTCTTGTTCACACAGGGCTAATGGCAGGAATAAAGCTAAAGCTACAAAAGAAGAAAGGAAAGCGCATAAAGAGTTTGAAAGGAAAAACAATGGCTTGAACATTCCAGGTACCCTACAAATTTACTGAAACACTTAATACTCCAGGAAATGTTCTGATATTTAGAAAAATTATTCATGGGAAATCAGATACTCTGAGATCATGTATTTCTCAGTAAGGATTTTAAATTACTTAATAGCCAGGATATAGGGCTATCCATCTTCCAGGCAAATTAGAAACATTAAAGACCTGCTACAAGTGCCTGTAGGCAAGAATCACCAACATCGTTCATTGAGGGTACAGGATATGAGATCAAGTCCCTCCTGACCAAACCTCAGACCACCCTCGAGAGGTGACTCTCCAAGGCAATGAACTCCAGGTACAGTGATAAACAGGTTACATATTTTACAGGGAAAAAGAAAAAAATTCCTCCTATACTTGAGGCACAGGGGTTTTTACACAATGTGCCAGAAAAGGAAAAAACAGTAAATGACTGACTGAATCCACTCAGCTGGATCACTTGCTCCAACCCCCTGCTCCAAAACTCTGCTTCCACTGGCCCAGCCCATCTCCTCCAACATCTCCCTCCTGTGGGCATTATGTCTGCAGACTGTGCTGGGCCTCGGTGCAGCCGAGGAAGAACAAAAATGGACATGCCCCTCGTATGTTAGTTCAGTACCCACAGTAATCCCAAAGAGGAAAATCTTTAGGAACAATGAGAACTGTTTTGGGAAGAGTTGTTTACTTTTTTTAAGGTCAGTGTTAGAATTTGGATACTGGAATTCTGCAACAGGATTTTCATCTGAATTTAAGTCCTCCTCAAGCCTGACAACGAGAATCAGGGCAGTGGCCAGGATGCAGCAGTGTGTCAACATGTACATGGGGTTGACAGGGGAGTCACTGTATTCTGCCACAAGGGCAGCAGTAGGTAGGGAACCAAAGTTGGAAGCTTAGGTCTAGGTTAGGGACATCTTCCTCATATTCAGGAGTGCAGGATTTTCTCATATCCCTATCTCTGCTCAAGTCCTCCTCTTGCTCCAATTAATTTCCAAAGCCCTTCTATAGCTTTTACTTCCTGCAACTTGTAGGACTTTCATGAACTCTTTGAGGTCCACTGAGAAGTAGCCACTGGTAGAAAAACAGACATAGGAGATCATCCATTTTTTCTCCCCATAATAGTTAAATGCCACAGAATGATCTGACTCTTCAAATAAGAGCCTGATCTAAGTAAACTCTCTGCACTCATGTTGTGACTTTAAGCAAAGCTGGAAAAAACAGAAACAAGGAGAAATAGATTTGTCTGCTAGGTTTAGGAGAAGCTTATCACCGTCACCATGACTTCCATGGGAGATGGGGAGCTATTTCTTTATTCACAAGTATCATCTCATCACCAGATCCACTAATAGAATAATGGATTAGAGTTTGTTACTCATGTCTGTCTATGAAGATTTGAGTACCTCATTTAATATTTTCCTATTTCTAAAACTGCACAATTGTCAAATGGAATAGCAGTAATTCCTGGTGGCTGGGAATCCACAACTGCACAATCAGGATGCTGTGCACTTCTTGGGACATTATGAAAAATGTAGCACCTCTTGCAGAATAACACATTTGCATTGAGAATCAGAAAGTGCTCCTTGGAACTGAGTTTGGAGCTATGAGCAGGGGAAGATCAGCCCCATTTGGAAAGCTGTGGTACACAAAACAAGGCACAGGAGGAGAAATGAGACAGGAGGGTAGGAGGAGTACATCACCTCAAATCCAATAATGGTGCTCCTAGGGAAAAAAAACATCAGAGAATCACCAAATGGTTTGGGTTGGAAGGGACCTTCGAGATCAGTTTTAGGTGAGAATGTGAAGTACACAGACCTATCACATATATTCTAGTCCTAGAAAACCTAGAAAAGTTTATGGAGAAGTGCAAGCAGTTACTGGCTTTTTTCTACAGATGCCTTTATGGAGTACAGTGATGGAAAACTTGAAGTCACAGGACCAAATGCAACAGCACAAATCTTTGCAACATATCCAGCTCCCTATCTGACCCTCGTAAATGGATTTGCAGATCAGGTAAGTGCACTTGCTATCTTAATTCTACAAATTAAATGTAAAAAAACCTGTAAAGCCAAGCAGTAAAAAACCACATAGAGCTAAAAACTGTGCCAAACCTCACCATTTTGGCCAGATGTCCCCTTGTACAATACAATGAGAATGCAATGCTGTTTGCAGGGGGTTATATTTTACAAGCAAAATAATTTCAAGTTGTTCTTTCTCATACATCATCTTAATTGTTGCACTCAAAATGTCTTTAAAGCAATACATGTAAGAGGTTTTGCTCAGCATAAATCAATGTTTCTCCATAAATCTCAGCAGTCATGTCCACTTACATCAAAATCCAGCCCATTTTGTGGACCTATTATTCCTTAAATAATGCTTAAGCAGACAGTTTAACATACCCTGAACAACTGAGTTTTCTGCTTCCACAAGCCACCTCTCTAACCTTCTTTTTTGCAGATAGATTTGTAGTATTTATTTTTCAAGTTATTGAATCTGAAAAATCCACAACTTCATTTCTAAGCTTTGTCCTTTAATTCCACTTATGCAACAGCAAAAAATGAAATTTCATATATTTTATATTTTAGAAGTATATTTTATATACTTCTAATCAACTTACCCATCTTCTTCAGGAATACATGAAATAAATACTGCATAAGTAAGGGATGAAAAACAAGGGATGGCCTGAACACAGAAATTAATTACATAAAAGATGGTGCAATCTGCTTTCAAAAAAAATCTAAGCCTTATTTTGAAGTTTTGTAAGAAAGACAGTTTTGATCTTTGGATCAGTCAACAGATTTTTCCCTAAGATATTTTTTACCCATGCGTGTTTCAAAACAAATTTAAAAGCAGACGAAAACCAAATAATTTTTAAACCACTCAAACTTAAGCTTCTTCAAATCAGTATAGAAATTGAACGTTTTGACATCACTGAAGCTTTTGTCTGTTTTCCTATCAAGTTAATTATTAGCAAAATCAACATTGACAAAGCATTTGATTTAAGCAGAGCTGGACTTGCATTGAAGTAATTCCAGGAAAATTTCCTCCACTGGCTCAATTAGCATATGCAGTACAGAGTTCATGGTACAGTTATACATGCAACCCTAATTTGAGGACTCCTAATTTTAGCTGCTCAGTTTTGACTTGACAGATTTCACTTTTTCTTCTGACGTTTTTCAATACCTGGACAAAGAGATGCATATCTAGTCTAAATTATCAGCATAAACTACAGTTACATAAAACACTTCTATACAAACAGAACTGCTTTAGCAGCAAAAATTGAGTGAATAAAAGTGTAAAATTGACAGGGAAAAAAAAGTGGAAACAAAGCATTAGACCTCACATAGGAGATGCCTTTTAAATCTTCTTGTTGCAAATTTCTTTTTTCAAATTTCCCCACCTGGTTGTGGCAGATTTTTTTTTTCAAATTCCTCAGCACAATTCTTGTCTTTGTCTTTCAGCAGAGATATCAAAACTTCTCATTACTGTGAAGTAGAAAGGCACTGAGTTCCAAATTTTGCCATTCTGTATAGTGGGATAAAACTAAATACCAGCTCTAAGCCACTCCAATCCACAAAGCTGCCATAGCCCCTCTTTTCATTACTGGAAAGAATCTACATATATTTATTCAATATTCTTTTCTTTGCCTTGGCCAGGTGATGTCAACAGCTGTTCTTCTTCTGGCTATATTTGCTATTTTTGACACCAAAAATAACAGCGTACCCAAGGGCCTGGAGCCGATTGCAGTAGGACTTCTTATAATTGTTCTTACTTGCTCCTTGGGAATGAACAGTGGCTGTGCCATGAACCCAGCCAGGGATCTTGGCCCAAGGCTCTTCACAGCCATTGCAGGATGGGGGATGGAAGTATTCACGTAAGTATGCCTGGAGATGAAGTCAAATGCTCCTGGCTAAAAATGTTTCTAGGAAAGTAAGATCCTGATTCAACATGGTACCAAGTCATACTTTATATACATACAGGTAATTCTTTACATACCAGAAGCAGCTATTCATGCATTTTAAGCCAGATATCCTCTAGGAACTGGGCTTTAAAAAGGATTTCCTGCTCCTAGAGCAAATCAAACATGCATAATCTCTAATATCAATCATTGTTTCAAGAAGACCTTTCCCAAAATATAAGAGCTTCTTAGAGGTCACTGAAAATATGAGTGCTTTCTTCTTGTGTCCTACAGCTTTCGGGGGAAAAAAAAATCAGGAGAGAATTAGGTGGAAATATTTATTGGGTGCTGTAAAAAACAGAGACATATCAGATTGATTTAGCCTATAATTACTTTTGAGTTACTGCAGAAATATACAGCAATCTAAAAGCCTGACTTCCTGGCTGGGAGGGAAGGAGTGAATGGAAAAGCTCCTTTCATTTTCCCACATTTCAGAGCCCTCTCAAGCCCCCGTGTGCACACACACATGCTCTTGGCTGGCCTAATGCACAGCTAATTAGTTGCACATCAAGTCCACATCTTACACGTAGCCGGGGTAAGAGGCACTCTGGGGTATCTAAGCAAGAGTAATCTGTCATCAGGAAGCAGATATTTTGGTTTATTTTTGTATTGTTTGTTTTCCCAGTTATTTACAAGTAGGAATCCCCAGTAGTACTGTAGGCCACTGGAGAGCTCTGCTTAGTAGAGATTTTATTTTAGCAAGAAATAAAAGAAGCACAAATAATCTCTATTTATTCAGTATGATTTCTATTTACACAAATCACGTACCTTATTTGAGGAAAGCAGTAGCAAAGCTTTTCTCATACAAAAAAAGCCAGGCATGGCACAGCTGAAACAGGCACACAGCCACAGCACAGGCCAGAGCCAAGGCTGGATGTAGCCCAGCTCTGGTCAGCTGCTGGTGGGAGATCAGCTCATTGGTCTGGCTACATCCAAACTTTTCCTCCCCAGTAGCTCTTACCACTTATTTTAAAAAACAAGGACACACAGAGCAATATCCCACTCTCAGGATTCTCCTCTCTTCATACCTGTGTAATCACAAGTAGTTGTGGGCTGTGGTATTAGCCATTGTGTCGTTCTATAATTGGTAATGTATTATGAAGTTGGCTATTACATTCCTGAAAGTTTGGAGGCCTGATCTAGTCACAGAATACCTGTGAACTCCCCTTCTCTCTACAAGTATGGCCACACATGAAAAAAACTACAAGAAAACTCTACATCTACACCAATACAGACTCTTTCCTAGTGTAGATCAAGGTTTCATGTAGGAGCAAGAATGCAGACCCACTGTAAAGATCTTGTTAAGAAATTTTAAAATGTGAACATAAAAAATAACATACAAGATCTCTGATCCTTGCCAGAACTTAAAACAATATAAGGGATGAGAAAAATTGAGGAAGAATTCTTCCTCCCTGCCTTCAGTTAAAAGTCTACAGCTATAGTCAAGTCCAAGGGAATCATACAACAGGAATATGTCCTTACTTACTGACTGCACAGATCCAGGTGAGGCTTAGGAAGAACCTGAGCCTTGTTAGATAGCTGGAAGAGCCATGGGAAAAGCCTGAATGATTGTAGTTAGGATCCTAAATTGTCTGATGCTCTGCTGTACCTGAGCAACTTAAAGTGGTACAGCAACAGTTGACAAATAAACCTTGGATATCTTCATTTAAATGGAATTCACAACCTTGAGGCTGGTGTTCAAGCTCTGGAGTAAAGGCATGTCCAGGAGCTGGGGCCCGAGCATGAAACCTCCACAGAGACACGAGGGGAGTGCTGTACAAACCCAGCAGCAGGAAATGCTCAGGGGACACTGAACATTCTTTGGGGGAGGATGGAAGCATCTCCCAAGGCTACTGAGTCCATGTCAGTGAATGTTCAAGCATGGACTATAGAACAGCCAGGATCACCAGGAAATCCTCACTTTGGAACAGATCAGATAAATAATAGCAAGACTTTCTACACTGCTCCCAAGCAAATGCTCTAAACATTGAGATAATTACCTCACAGCAGAGAAAACCCCTCTTGTGCTTGAAGGTACAATAAATGCTGGTTTTATCACGTTCTCAGGCAGGGAACTAGACTGGAGGGGAGCCCTTCTGCTGGACCATGGAATTGTCCAGATGATAGGAATGCATTTGAGCAGGGATTTTCTAAATGTTGCTGTTACTACATTTTGCACAGACACCCAAAGGAGCATTTTCCCCAAAACCAAGCCCAAAGACACAAGCTAGGGTGTGGTTTCCCTAGCCACGGTTTGTTTTGGTTAAAGGCTCCCATCAGAGAACCAGGAGTCTTTCTTAAGCACATGCTTAATATTGTGATAAGCTTAAGAAAATTTTGAGAATTTTGAGAAATCCAGCAAAATTAGCAAATTTTTAGGTTGGCACCCCAGTGTCGGCCAGTGTGAGTAGCTGCAAACAGAGGCCATTTTCCATGGGAAAAAGAAGTAATTTCCAGGAGTCTTTCTTAAGCACATGCTTAATATTCTGATAAGCTTAAGTAAAGATTGGGGAGCAAAGTATTGTCTGTAGTGAGAGAACAGCCAAGAGCGTTGAGTCCAGATACCAGACTGGATTTTGACAGGCAAAACCGAGCATGGAAGAGCAGTGAGAGAGGGAGGCGGGGCTCTCCAGAGCAGCATTCCTCGGCAGCCCGGGGCAGCCCGGCGCGGTTCGGCGCGGTAACGCTGACACCTCGTGGCCGCCGGCACCGGGGACGGGGCGGCAGCGCTGAGCGGAGCTGCACTGCGGGAAGGCCAGGAGGGAATCAATCTCCTGTCTGCACCGGCATTCCGGCCTCAGAAGGATTTAGCATTCTCCCCGGGGTGCAGCCCTGCAGCCCGGGTTACCTCACGAGAAGCGGTATCTCCCTTTCCCGCAGCAACTGGCTAGTGAAAAGTGTATCTACAAGTTCTAATGGGCCCAAATTCCCAGTCTCTGTAGCTCAGACGCTGTAGTTCCCCAGGAATTCCCTCAGCCAAGCCGAGTTCTGCGGCGGCCGGGCTGGGTGCCCTCCTAAGCCGGCAGCAAAGCCGGCCCCGGGGCACAGCCAGGGGCTGAGGGCACTCAGGGGCCTTTGGCCATCCGTGCTTGGCACAGCGAGTTCTTGCTCCTGTGCCAATGACACAGCACCGAGTGCCATAGAAACCCCTCCCGGGCCGGGTCCTGACTGACCTCACGGCAGTTCTGGCAGCAGCCTCTCCAAAGGCTTCGCACCCAGCGCTGAGCACGGGCTATCCAACGCACAGCTGCTGCAAACACAGCCCGTGCTTTGGAGAAGGGCATGCAGGAGCTGACAAGGCACAGGCCAGATCATGGAACAGGCTGAGAGAAACCTGCCAAGAAACACCTTCATTACACACCCACGTATAAACACAGAAGAATACATGCAAGTACTTGATATAACTTTTGTTCTGCTGATTAATTCAATAAAATATTAGTCCGTGCTTGTTCCAGAAATTCAAGTGCTCAACAGCCATCCATGATTCAGAAACAAACAGATTTATAAACTCAGTAAAATAACATTAGAAGTTACTTTATATCCTCAGGGCAAAATAGAAATAATTCTAAAGGTAAAACATACACATGCAAGGCATTTCTGAATGAGCAGTAGTAGCATAATCAACAGGACACCAATATTCTCCCAGTTCTATTATTGCATTGTGACATACACAAGTTCACTTCTGCATAAAGCTATACAACTGAGTGTTGAATAATTATCCTGACAGTTTAAAAGCTCCCCTGCAACTTCCTGTAAAGTTCCTCTTACAGATTAATTTGTCCCTTTGTATTTCTGGGAGAAAACCAAAAAATCTCCATTTTCAATATGCGTGAAATTGAGGTAGCTGGATTTTCACTGGAGACTCACATATTCAATTAATACAGCATGTTATCAAATCAAAACACCTTAATGCACCAGTACAGTCAAGAGACTCTGTGCTTTGACATGCATACTCAGTTATTTACTGTCTGAATGTGGACCTCTAGGAAAAGGAGAGCAATTCTACCACCCCAATATTCCTGCATTAAAAGGTTGTTATTTACTGTTTTATACAGTTCAATGGTGGAAGTCTTACTTTAAATATGCCTATAAATCTGCATATTTAAAATTAAATCCTGGTAATTGTGCAGATGTAAACATTTCAGTGGAATCAGCATGCTGGACTTTCTTAGTGAATACAAAAATTCTAAGATTAAGTTTAGGTGTATAAAACTTCTAAGCATTTATTTGCCTCTTGCTGAAAGACACCACATTTTAAACATAGAGAGAAGATACTACATCATGAAATTTGAATCTTGACCACTCCAGTTAAGGATAATCAACTTTACAGTCACTCTATTTTATTATACTGCTTAAGGTAAATTTACTCAAAAATCGGTTTAATTTACTATATTTGCCAAGAGGAAGATAATATAAACTATTGCAGGTATGAACTTGTGGCTTATTTCATGCAGACGAAATAAGCCACTTTTGTAACACCCTAAAAATCTGTTCACAAGCATCTGGGGACAGCACAAGTGAAGATTGCTGGGCAATAAATACGTGCCCTTTCACTTCACTGCAAGCCAGTGAAACGTGCTTGTCACAAGGCAGAAATCATCCTCTCTCCTCAAACAGACATGCAGTAAAAAGGCCTTATTTTCTAAAATACAGCAAGTACAGCACACAGACCATGTCTGGTGCTTGTTATTCAGCATTTCAATCAGAACCAGCCTGGGTAGGGCAGATGGGGGTGTCACCCATTTACAGAAATGTGAGACAAAATAGGTCTGCAGTATAGCAATATTCAGCATTTCAATCAGAACCAGCCTGGGTAGGGCATAAGACAAAATAGGTCTGCAATATAGCAGGTGGCACACCACTGGATCTGTTCAGGGACTAATTCACAGAAAGGTGCTCACCAGAGTAACAAATAACACTAATTCTTGTTCTTTTTGTCTTACAGGGCTGGTAATAATTGGTGGTGGGTTCCTATAGTTGCACCTCTGCTGGGAGGTGTACTTGGAGCAATGATCTATGTCATTTTTATTGAAATTCATCACTCGGATCCTCAGCCAGGAGAAGAAAATGATGTGCATGCTAAATATGAATTGAGCAATATGGCATAAGAAGTGAAGAATTTTCTCTGTCATTGTGTTGTGCAGTTTTTATGCAAATGGTTGTTTGGACCACTCTATGAAACCCATATGTCTTGACTAGAAACTCACCTTTCAAAGCAGCAATTCTGTATAGAAGTCATTCCATGAAACACTTCCATGAAACATTGGGCTGATCACATTCAAAATTGGTATCTTAAGTATGGGAAGGCTAAATTGTCCTTTTCATACGGCTTTTAGGTCAAGTTATCCTAGATGCAATTGTAGTGAGAAGTTGCACTGACCTGTTAATTCAATTCATATGATCTTAATCATGCTGTCTAATTAACTGAAAATAGTTAAGATATTGATACAAAACTGCATGCATAGCTAGTTAAGGAGTTCAGTGCTGAATCAATGTGCAAGAGCAGCGCTCACTTCTTAAGAATGGCTTGCCTAAACATTTAAAACAATACTCAAATTGGCTAAATGGTAATTGAAACACTTTAAAATAACTTTACTAAAGTTTATGGAGCCACTATTGATCAGCAAGAAATCAACTCCTCAGTGATTAAGTTTAGTAATTCACAATATGATCATGAAAGGTAAAAACTGCTTGTTGTAAGCACCAAAGAGACAAAGGGTAACTTCTGCACAGGGTCTTCATAGCACTAATGCTTAGTTATTTTTAGATTATTTACTTGACCTTTATGCTACCCAATATTAAAAGCCTTATGTAGAATACTAATCTGAATCTCTTCCGCTGTGCTTTCTGGATACAATTCATTCCTGTGGAGATGGCCCAGCAAGGGGCTGATGCTGTGCAGAGGTCAGCACAAAGCCTAGGTCTGTATAAGCTTTAAAGAGTCCTGCTGCTGCTGATTTATATAGGTGGATTTCATCGACATTGTGGGAGCAATTTTTAATGTGGGAGCAGTAATTAAAATAAGAAACTGGTCTCAGAGCTAGTCCTAGATCTGAATTCCCCAAGGAAGTTCTGATGTGGGGGTTATCTCTCATTAAAGAGAAATGGTTGGACATATACCCCTTCCTAAAAATCTAGCCTTGAAAATGAAATTATTTCTGCTCAGTGAATGTATTCAGTTAAAGCAAAGTTTATTCCTATTATGTATAATCTCTCCATGGTGGTGGTGATCATGAATAAACAGACATCCAATTCAGCAATGCTCTTGAGCTACTTTCATGGCTAAACTTCAGAGCACCATTCAATTCACTCATTCCAGGGTGCTCTTTCCTTTGGATTCCTAGAACTCTGTTCTCTCAAATTCCACACTGCATTCCTGGTTTAATTCCTGAAGTGAGGAGCCCTCTGTGCTGCCACTACAATTCTGTGCAGTATCTGCAGATGTTTACAAACCCACCTCAGCATTTGGGGCAGTCAGGCCTTTGTCACTGCTTCTCTTGATCCCACTCCCTGGGATGCCATGCCAAATTCATGGCAGAAAAGGGACAGAAAGAGCAGGTCAAGCAAAGCTCTGCTTGCTACAGCTCCAAGTTACATCTTGCAGCATACTTGGGGGAGTATAATTCCAATTTCAATTATGTTTTTAAGAAAACTTACATAACTGTAATGAACTTAGGCTGCCCAGAGACATATCAGCCCTTTGCAAAATGCTCATTTAATTCAGTGTCTCCCTATTGTGGGTTAAATTCTGCTACATCCATGCACATTTGACTGCACCCTTGTATCGTGGGCTGGAGAGTCTCAGGAACAAGAAGGAAGAGCTTATAGAAACAGTTCTCAGTCTGAGCAGAGAAAAATCAAAAGTAAAATGTGAAAATTAGTCCTAATTTTCAGCCTTTTGTTGGCAGCAGAGACAAGCTCGATCCTCTGTCCTATGTATTGATAAACCTCACACATAAAAGAAAGATGGGGTGCAAATATAGCTGCAGACTGATCCTTTTCTTACCCCACCCTTGCAGTGAGCACTGTCCCTCGCCCCCTGGGCACAAGCACTCCCAGGTACTCCCAGGGGCTGCCAACCCTCTGTGTCTGCAGAGGGATTACAGAGGTAGAACCTGTCTGAGGGCTCCCTCAGCTCTGAAAAGCACTTACTCTTCCACTGACACCAACATCTAATATGAAATATCTGTGCAGAAAATAAAAATAAACAGCTAATTAACCAGAAGTAATCAATTCAATCCAAAATGGTAGGGGTAGGTTATCACTTGTGTTAGAATTTTGCACAGTCAGTAGGCTCCATATGCATCACTATATTGCTTCTTCAATCCCCATGGAAAACATGGGAAAAAGGAGAATACAGGTCAGGAATGAGAAAAGGACAGTTTATTTATACAGCCTACTCAGGGACTAGCCCACACTCGCTGTATGCCTGTGCATTGGCCAAGGTACATAAAGTTGTTCATTTTCTCAAAATCCTTTTGGTCACAACATGTTCTGTCTATAAAACAAAATCTTGTTTCTCCTACTCATGCCATTCCTCTGCACGGAATTTCTGTATGAGTGACATTTACTTGCCTGAAGTTATTAACATGCAAATCTTAAGCAGTGACACACTAGTGTGATAGCATAACAATGTCTTAAATATGCTCTCAAATTGCTGTCAATTCTGTGCTTGCTTAAAGAATTTAAATTTTAATTAATCATTCAATATTTTGTAAATTCTTTGGGGACACATGGTATTAATACCACAATTCATCCTAGATTCACAAAAGCCAGAATTTCATTCAGTAACAAGATGTTATAGACCTGTCTGTGACTGACAATTTAAATTTCAAGGAATGAATTCCTGCTTTCAGGACAAGCCTCAGCTGATTCTTTACTACAAAAACGTAATAATGTAATGGGAACAATAACAATCACCTCATTCCATAAACTTATACAGACATTAGCAGTTTTATAAAAAACAAAAGTATTTTGACTTTGCATGAACCATGCAATTTCCTAATATCAACTGATATTCAGTGGTCACACTTATGTTAAACTAATAATAATAACAGTTGGCAACAATTTTTTCTAGCTGAAAGATGTTTTGATTAATGAGTTAATAGTAATCAGTCCTGATTTTAATGTTGAAAGAAATTCATTTCAGGGTATTGTTCAACTTTCATTTTGGATTTGGGGGTTTTTTTTGGGAGCATTGTGTTTGTTCTTTAGGGCTAAACTTAGTACTGGAGTAATATGGAAAGCTGAAAATAGTACTGAGTTAAAAGTTGGCTACTGCATGTTGTTTTATTGAAGTCAGTGAAATTATTCACAGTGGGGGAAATACAGGCAAGGATAAGTGATCAGAGATCTGAGCTCAGAGTATGGCAGAAATTGTATTTTCTTGGAGTTTTGTCTATGGATCTGGATGTTCAAGTATTGTGGTTCAAAATAAATACAGTCAATTCCTAATAAATGCATTCCAGTGCTATTTTTATATATAAAAAGGAAACCTGCCTTCTGGCACCTAAGGACTTAAGAAATAAATAGCTGCCTGTTATGACCCACAATGTTTTACAGCCTTGTGCTGGAAGAACAGATGGACTAACAAGCTGGATTCCCAGAGCTCAGCCCCTGTGGCAGATCCTGCAGCTCAGCAGCAGTGCCAGAGCAGAGCAGTGGGCAGTGCCAGGCCAGTGCCACCCATGGCACCAGGGCTCCCTTCTCCCCTCCTGCCTGCAGCCTGCCCAGGAACACTTTCTGCCACTGCTTTCCCACTGCTCTAACAACAGCCAGAGCCCAGGTGGGATATTTTGCTGAAGTTCCTCTCCAGAATGCTCTTAGGCATATATGGATTACATCAGATTTGTCCTGCAGGGCTCACAAAATGCCCCTGGCTAATTTATCAACCTTCTCTACAGATTTGCAACAGGGGCATGCTTTGCTTGTTTCTTTAAAAAAGCACAGGAAAACCCTGTGCTGTGGGAGCAAGGGAAAGGATAGGTGCTTCAAATTTGCTCTGAGAGCCACAAAATAAAAACAAAAAGAAAAACTGAAACAAACACACAAACCCCCAACAAAAGTATATGAAGTGGCAGCAGGCATTTTGTCCTCTATCTTCCTGATGAACCTCAGCAGTCTTGGGACTTTCTGTTCTCCTTCCCTTCTGCCAACACTGTGTGCTGTGCTGTGTCTCCATACAGCACATACATCTCCAGAGATTTAAATACAGCCTGCTTTCCTCAGTTACTTATGAATCTTACAAAGTTCTCATGAGAGCACATTCAAGTTTCACCTCACATGCTTGTTTTTTTGGCAGTTGCTTGCATTTTTTTCCCCACTGTTCCCACCAAACAACCTTGTGCTGGAAAGCACAACAATTAACTGTAACTTCCAGTAACAGCTGCTGTTTTTCTGCTTAGCACAATTCTCTGCATCAGGAAATACTTCTTTAAAACATGCACAATTTTAAAAGACTTCTTCAAACCACTATTAAAAATAAATCAGGATCATCCAGGAAAGACAATGCAGCACCCATCAGTTAATACTTTTGGATTTTTGTCTTCTATTTTGCATTTGTAAGTTGTTAAACAAATATATTTAATTATTGTTCTGTGAGTGTTAGTGCCTTTGCTTGTTTGCACACTCTAATAGCATAGTCTCAGAGGAGATAGTAGTAGATAAATATTTTTACCATGGAGTTTCTTTGTTTATTTGAATCAAATATTAGAGAAATCCATAAGCTGGACATGACACATTTATATAATTTTTCTCTCTTTGTTGACTTCCTTCCAAAGGTGTCTCCAAGATAAGGAATATGAATAACCAGCAGCTTGTATCAGCAATGATTTCTGATCACCTCTCAGACACACACCTCAGGTGCAAATTCTGACATTCTCAGTACCACTAAGAGGACCAGTTTAAGCACATTAATACTATTATTTCCCCAGCATTAGGCACAGAAGAGTCTAATAGGTGAAGAATACTTTCCACACCCTCAGAAATAACAGTACTTGGTTTCACTGCACAACTCTTCTCAGGAAACCTTGCCTGCCTTCCCATTATAAACACGGCTCTGAATGAAAAAGCAGCAAAGTAAACAATATGTTAAGACTTGAAAAGTCAGCATCTGAATAGAAGGAAATGAACAATCTCAGCAAGAACTGAACAGATGCAACACTTTCTGTAGCATGACTGAGGCATCAGATAACAAACATGAAGCCCAAGCAGCAGCACATGCTTGGCAGCAAG